ACGATGCCAGTGGCAGTCATCTAAAAGAGAAGTCAAATGCGTCTGTGACGATTGAATTTCTTAATACAAAAATTCCAATGAAATCAAGGAAATATAAAACGCAATTCAATTTGTGCCCGTCAGCGAACTCGTTTTATAACTCCGGTTTTACAACTTTTACCACATTTCCTACGTCTTGTTATCTTTTATTTACTGAATATCTTATATTTTATTTATATAATTGCACATGATGCAACATACTCTCTCGCGGCCAACTTTATAGAATAGCAGCGTATTTCACTTCGCACCGGTCGAGATGTCATTTTCTGAACAGTGTTACGTTTTTATGTGGAGCAAAGCTGATATTTATGGTCATCATTTTATTTGCGCAGAAATCAGGTCGCGTAATCCTTCATCATAAGTCAAAAAGTTTTAATTACGAAACAGATAATGATGACAAATGATGTGTGATACGTGTGCAATATCAGTGTCACCGCAAGGAGGGAATATGTTCACATTCGGCCATTTGCGTGTCTGCTCAGGACAAGACGCATTGATGGTGATTGATAACCACCTGGTTCGATATTTATCGAATTGGTGCTCTCTGATCGACATCGGGCTTTTGGAAATTTACAATGTGAAGCGGATATTCTCTATTTTTGCCCGACACATGCGTAGATAACAATGGAGATAATAACGTCAGCGTATGGCGAAATTAGTTCCAATCATGACACGAGAAATCGAAAATAATTTCGACAATTCATTTCGCAAATCGCATTAAGCAGAAAAATGAAAGTGTTCATAGAATGTTCTTAAATAATATTTGTGAAAGAGAGACCATTTCTAGAATAATAAGGAATAAACTTGACATATTCTTAAAATTATCTCAAGAAAACAATGAGACATTATTATTTCATATTATTAATTAGTACTATCAGCCAGTAAATCACTCTTAATCATCCGGCATTAAAAACTTTTTACTCCTAATCTACATAGCGGAGGTTGCTCCGCGAAGTGTGGAATAAGAAATAACAAATTGACTCGGTAAATGCGAAAAACCACATCCGGATTTCAATCCGACGGGAATTGTGAAAACACGGGCATACGCGCACGTGTAAATGGGGCAGTTTCTTTTCACGGTGTTCGTGATCGCTTGTACTCGCGGGCAGTGATTAGGAACGATGCGTGAAACGTTCGTAACGTTAATGAAAGAAGAGATCGCCCGTACGTGACGTGCCATTTCCACTCGCGGTCAGATCAAGCGGAGAATTTTATCCTCTGTAGCGATTGTTCTCTCGCCCGATCCGACGTGACGGCGTTTATTGGATCGATACACTGGGGTCTCTCTCTTCTTCTCGGCGCTAATAAAAAGCACTGGCCGATATTATCCACTGTATGGCGGCGGGTTGCGCGTTCGTGCTGGCACCTCTTGATGGTATAAAAAATGGCATCCGTGGCCAGCAACACGGCTACGTGACGTGAGTAATTACCAGCAGCCGCGTGAACACATACGCAACACCGGGATGCGATGGTGCAGCGCGCCTACATATTGGCACGTAAAACGTTATGAAGGCGATCGTTAACTATCCAATCCCCACCCCCCACCCCCAAGCAGATCTAGTATGCAAAAATCTGACGCGCATATAGTTGTAAAAAATTGTAATTTTTAAATTTCAATAAAAAATGTGAAATATGTATTTTTTTAACGATTAAGTGCTATTCTTATATCAATTGCTAGCACGATCAGTATCAGAGTATTTGTTAATGTTCATCAATTTCCCCTATTTTTTATTTCATGGAATTGATTAGTTTAATTTTTGAGAAAATGTGTACAGCTCCACTTATATTTCTTTAAACATTTATATGAAAGAATCTTTTGACTACGCATAAGAAAATATAGATTCTACGATTTCACAAGCGTGTTAAAATAATACTTGCCGATAACTATGTTTACCATAAGAAAATATTTATCAATTTCACCTGATTATAATTTATGCACAAGCAAACATTTCCAATGTAATACGGAAGATGTGTAATCTGATGTGTAATTTGTTCAATGATATACGATTGCAAACACAATATATATGCAATCTCTGATTCATTCACTGGTTAATTTTAGATTACAAAAATTGAATCAAATAATAAGGATATTAAAATATTTATGATCTCAAAGATAAGATCTTAACGATCCAATGTAATTCACTACAATGTTGAACTTATTCATCACATTTCTCTTTCTCGAAATTCTACGAAGATACAGTTTGTTTAAGAAAAGAAATTTATAATATTCTAAATGCATATGCCAAGCGACATATTAAAGTAAATCGATATTACGGATACTTTCAAGTACAATAAAAAAATTATTATTTGTTGATTCCTTTATTTGATAAGAATTTTAATGAAATTTTGAATACATCTTATATTTATAGATAATTATTGTTAATAATTTAACTTTTAAAATATGTTCCGGTTATATAGTCTCGGAACAAATATATACATGATAAAATCATATGTATCTTTCTAAAATTTAATATAGTGAATCACAATCAGAAATTAACAAAATTAAACATTTTATTTCTATTTGCGAATAAAGTCGGATTTATTCACGTGTTGTTTTTTTAATGAAGTATGTGTTAACAAACTCTATTGAATCGAATATAAATCCATTGTAGTAATCTCAATAAGGAATGTGCAATATTAATTAATAAGTTTTAAATAGATTCCACGCTCATTAATATTTAACAGTATTTATCAGTTCATTGCTTTCATATTTCATAAGTCCTTTGTCCTTCTAAACATTCAAGTTTAACGTGCTTAGTTTATTGACTTATTATAACAATTATAACAAATTATAAAGATCTAATTCTATTTCTAAATAGAATTAGAAATAGAATTAGATCTTTATAATTTGTTATAATTGTTATAATAAGTCAATAAACTAAGCACGTAAATCTAGCTTTGGCTCTGTAGCTTGTTTTTAATAATTTATTTTAATAATTTGAGCCAAAATTGTAATTTTTAAGTTATTCAAGTTTACATTCGAGGGATTAATTATTGCGCGATATGCGCGAATAATGACAAATTAATAATTTCACTTAGTTTATAGGCAGAGAAAAGGATCCGCCATTAAATTACGTAAGCGTTAAGGAGATTAGAGATCTTCCGTCGAATTTCAAGCACTTTCCGGGTAATGTCTAACGTCGTGAATACGAATTTCAAATTCGGCATTAGAACTGAATTTTAAAAAGGACTTCGTATATATACATATGTACCCTCTCACAGCAGTTCTCGGAAATTGTCAGACCGGAAGCTCCCGCTTTCCGTTAACCGGCCGATTACCAACCAATCTTTATTGTAGAGAAATATGTATGTGCTGTTCCACGATAATAAGATAAGACATTTGTCAACTTCATGTAATCGATTCGTTCGCTTTCTAGCCGGGACTACCACTGCGTCTGCATCCATAAAAACCGCGGAGCTACTACCGCAGCTACTCACTTAGCTAATTCTTACGGTCTCACGTACCATAAGCTGACGCGGCTGAAAATGATGAGTCTGAGATTCGAGATTACACACGTACCGAGGAACACGTTTCGAGTTATGGCGTAGAATATGAAACGCTCCTTCGCGTTGAATTTATGAAAAGGAATTAATTTGCGCGATATGCTCGGCAAAGTTATGAAAATTGCGAAAAGTCGCGATGACATTATCGATGCGAGCGAAAAAAATGTACGAAATCGATGAAGATAAGCGAAATGGGATAACTCGGTCTGATCAAATGAGCGTTAACGCGATAATACTCTAATAGTTTGTCATTGAGATTCGACGAACAGCAATTAATGCTGCAGCTACGTGCGAGATACTAAATGAAAGATATCGAAATACAAAATAACTGTGATGCGGTATCTGTTTTGTTTCCGCCTCTGTGTATAATGTGACAGGAACGTCACCCGATAAAGCCTTTGAAATATTCCACTATTCCACGAAAATCACACACGATATTTGTGGTGACTTGTTTTCCAAATGATATCATTTGATTCCAGTTAATCGCGCCATTATTGAAGAAGCTTGGCACTACTTAATTAAACACGTGTGTAACGCTTATCAATAGTATCTGCATTATCAGACCCCCAACGAGCAGTCAACATACTGAAAGGTAAAAAAAAATTGAAGACATACGACGAAAACAGAAAGATAATAAATGCCGGTATCACGTGAAATTGAGATGATATTTTCAAATATCAGATAAAGAGTATAATGCTGTGTTACAGAACTGCGTAAACTGTATCTTGTGAAATGTCACGAAAAAAAGTTAAGCCGCACTTTATCAAGAAATGCGTCATGCGGCATTAATTTTTCTGACAAAAGCATTCGAATTTGCATTTTTTATTATGTCTAAAGCGGCATTTGCGCACGCAGATATCTTGATGCAAATTTGTTTAGATGAGTCTGTTGCACAATTTATTGAAGTGCGTAAATATGAAATTCATATAGTATAAATACTTAGCACGTACACACACAACATGATTTTGCACCACTTTATTTATTTCAAAATATTGAGTATATATATTAAGTATATAATTTGAGTATATAAATGTCGCTTAATAATTTTATTATTTCTTCTTTTATTTTAGACATTATAGAATAATATAGCATTAATCAATATTAATTGTAATAAACTCAATACTAATGTAGAATATATCTGTACGTAATGTGTGTATGTGTTAGTTGAGAAAGAGAGAGAAAGAGAGAAGTAAAAAATAAAAAACTAAGAAATGTATACTTCTTTAAATAGCTTTGCGTAGTAGCTCTTTCTCATTGTTGAGAATAAAATAAATATGTGTTATATATGGGAAAAATGTGATAAATTTTCGATAGCTGTACAATCTATAAGGAGAATAAGAGAGCTAATGTTACGTAAGCAATCTGTTGTCAGTGTCAAGAGATAGAAAGCAAACATTTTTTGTGGGACTAGGAAGGAAAATTGATAACGCGATCCTATAAATGCGTTCGCCGGGCAGCAGTCGAGCAGTATGATTTCAGTCGATACGTGGGTTTACAACTAACTTTTGCAAGTGGAGTTACAACAATTACTTTCAAGATGCGCGCCTTTGTTTTCATGATTTTGTGCCTTTCCATGGCCATTTGCACAATAGCATTTCCAAGACATGAGCATTCTTCCAATTCCAAAATACACAACGGCCAAAGTCTGATTCTTGGTGAACGTAAGGAGGGCGATTACCTTGTTACTAACAGAACAATTTATAAGGTACATAATTTTAGCAACATGACTCTGTCGAATGTGTTGAATTCGCGTAATTATTTTTCTTATAGTAACTTTTAATATGTTTAATACTTATATTATATATATATATGTTTTACACACCTATTTCGTCACTATTATGCCGAGATGATTTCTATTAATATTTTCTCACATTTGATATCTCTGTAAAATTGAAACAGTATAAATTTTGAATTTTTGAAAAAAATTGTTCTACAATTAATATAATATCTCATTTATATTAGCCACCCATTTCATGGATTCCTATGAGAGCTACAGTCGGGATAACAGCAAAGAATGGCGACGTTCTCACCTACGTAAAACTGATTAGTACAGATAACAATAAACTCAATTATTTTGTGGTGTATGATGGTATTGGCCAAAAAAAATTCCTAGCAAAAGTTATAGGACAAACTGGAAAAGGAATGAATTTAGCCGTGGAAGGTTATGCTATAAGCACTCTAACAACAACGGCTCCTCCAACTACTGAAACCAGCACGACGTCCGATGGAGGTGATGGAAATAATACACCTAAGGATGGTGATGGAAACAATACTACACCTAAGGATGGCGATGGAAACAATACTACACCTAAGGATGGCGATGGAAACAATACTACACCTAAGAATGGCGATGGAAACAATACTACACCTAAGGATGGCGATGGAAACAATACTACACCTAAGGATGGCGATGGAAACAATACTACACCTAAGAATGGTGATGGAAACAATACTACACCTGAGAATGATGATGGAAGCAACACCACGCCCGATGGTGGTAATAGAAGCAACACCACTTCCGATGATGGTAATGGAAGCAACACTACGCCCAATAATGGTGTTGGAAACAATACTACACCTGAAAATGATGGAAGCAACACCACGCCCGATGGTGGTAATGGAGGCAATACCACGCCCGATGATGGTGATGGAAACAAGACTACACCTGAGAATGGTGATGGAAACAATACTACACCTGAAAATGATGATGGAAGCGACACCACGTCCGATGATGGTGATGGAAGCAACAACACACCCGAGGGTGGTGATGGAAGCAGCAACACTACATCCGATAATGATGATGAAAACAATACCACATCTGAGGATAGCGATAATAACAACACTATACCCGAAAATAATAATGGAGGTAATAGTGCATCTAATAATGATGATGGAAGCGGCAGTACACCTGATAGTGGTGTTGATTAAAACGAGCATCATTGAATACAAAACTCTGATGATTACAACGATAATTTCTTTTAAGCTTCTATATAGATTTAAAAATCTAAACAAAAGACTGTTATACAAGCGTTTAAAATTTAAAGTCTGATAATATAAAAATGATATACCTTATGTATATATTAAATATATAAAAGCGAAATTGTATTATATAAATCGAATATCACATTATTTAATTATATGAATCTAAGAAACAATGTATGTGGCAACAAATTAACAAATATAAAAACATAAGCATGCAAAAATTTATAAATGTATGAAGTGCTGATTATTTATCCAACTTACAATTAGCGTCATATGTTCCGATGATATATAGTCTCGTATTTCTTTTACTATAATTTTACATTTGTACGATGCCGCGATAAGGCATATCTTCCCGTGTAAACAAATCTCTTTGACTCCTCCTACGCATCTTCCCATTATCTTAGATTCCCGAAAGCGCAAGAGCGTCGCGACTAACGGAATGAGATTATCATCGCGACTTATGTATTTCAGGAATCATCGGCTGCGTGACATGAAATATAATTTATTGGGCTTGAGAATTCTAAGCACAGACCTTGCGCGGGTAACGCGTTTCCACGCGATGCTCCCTCGACGACGGTTTAGGGGTGCATCGCACGTAAGCCACCACTGTTACTTGATTCGCTTCATCTTCCACGGCCGGCTTAGAGAGGGATGGAGACTTTTATCTTACTTCTTCTCCCTTTTTTTTTGTCTTACCCCGCCCCCGTTCCGGCCCGAGTTCGTGAAGCTCGTGAAAATTGTACTCCAATTTAGTAAGATCCGATTTGTATGGATGGTTGCGCCCGAGATATCAGACTGGGTATCGAGTGCAGAGCGCCGCAGAATTTTGATGGCGTCGATTGCGATAGGCATGTCCGTCGCATCCGTGCATGTTTAACGCGTTTTCAAAAGATTAATACGTCGCCGTTGCCTCGGGTGGCTCCACTCTTTAACCACGTAGCTAAGTGCACCTTGCGTGTATCATCATGCAAGCATCTTCCATGCAACGGGGACCTTTCGTGTCTCCGCGTATCACGAGGATCGGAATCATTATAATACATGAAACGAACTGCAGTCAATTTCAGGCATAATTTAAGAAGGAATAACTTATGCATTCGGTTTAAAGAAAGATATAATGAGGTTGAATGTTTCATCGAAATTATTTGTCATGTTAAATAGTTTGCTTTCAAATAACGAAATGTTAACAATGTTGAACAATTTGATTAAATTTGCTAGAAATTTTCTGTTCGATACAAAAAATATAAAGTAACTTTGTCACAATCACGTTACTTTCCTTTGCGCTTCGTCGATATGTCGGATAGATAAAACGCTTGCAGCTAAGCAATGCGTCGCAATAAGCTTACGTTAGCAAATAGCGTAAATAGCTGTAAATCGCGGCGTAGATAATTGGCGCGTGTGGCGCCTCTGTAATTCGTCAACTAGCCATGCTACCGGAATTTCGACCGCTTAACCGTGCATCATAACGTAACGAGTGTGAGTGTGTGTGTGTCTGAGACGGCTCAGAGAGTTTACCAACCAAGCCTCTCCCGACTGCGTGCATTACTCCGAATACGCACCTGATAATCGCCCTAAACTCCGACCGTATCGAAACAGGTGCGCTCACGTACGCATAGACACGGTCGCGCGAGCGTGCGTGACATCTCAACGTTACGCACATACAGGTTGCAGCGTTAGTAAGTACGTGCTCGTAGATAAGGGCGCGAATCTCCAGGCTTAATACCGCACTAATTAGAGGCGGCTCATAGTAACCAAATAAGATTACGCGATTAATTCGGGCTTAGGGATTTTCGATCCGCGCGTCGTGTTTTTTGATCCGCGTTGCTGATAAAATAGTATTTTCTCGATAAACCGTGTCTGCCTCTATCCGAGAAAGCGGGAGAAAAAATAAATAACAACGAACGAGGCTCAACAGCTCGTTGGAAATCTGGATTTATCGGCAGAATAAATAAGTTTCGCCGATTGATATTAAATTCATCCACAAACAGTAAATTATAATCGCAGTCACATAAATTCGATGTAGTATTGTAATTACATCTTCGTTTATATATCATTAATATACCTGTCTTCTTGTTGAATTTACTACATAATGCGTTCGTTGTACGCATTGCAAGCGACTTTTCTCGCATTAAATATTCCCAGCGTGATATTCCTACCGATGCCGCGCGGCGGACATTATTTCCACAAACAATGTGCTTGAGATGTTCTGTATGTCAAACAGAAGGCGGTGTTGCGGCTTGATTCATCTTTTTCACACCCGACGCAGCGCGGTCTGTAATTCCTCTACGCGGCGGAAATATACTTATCTGATCAGATGATATCCAACCTAGACGTGAGTATCTGCATAAAGGAATTTGTACCCCTTCGTTTTTACATCTTTATCTTATATTCTGAGATAATGATGTCGTATCTCGACATTTTATCAGTACGAATGAGAGAACGAATTAATTGAATAGATGCCATCGACTCGTTTTTCTCTTACATATAAGTCTATCGAAAGATAAGGATTCTTATGACTGACGAAAGCATTGTTAAAAGTGCCCAAAAAGATAAATGTATAAAAATAGAAGCAGAGAAAAGAATAAAAGTAATAATTCCTTTTTTCGAATATGTTTCTTGGTGACATATTTACGATCGGAAATCATTATTTTTAATCACGGCTTTAACATGTAATTAAATACGCATTAGTATTCATATGTCACATTTGTCCCCGTTCTATGAATCGCTGTTTGCTATTAGTATTCATAGTCATTCAATCCTCATTCATTACTTGGAACGATCATTGATTTGTCAAATAAGATAAGGTTGTAATTTGAATGGAACTATTGTTTTTATGTCCATCGAATTAATCACACACACACCAACTCCAAAGTTTCATGTTATCTATTGCAATGCATCAATGTTACAAATGAATAATACACTTGATTATATATTTGAAAATTATACTGAAGTGTAATCGAGATAAAGAAAATCTTGATTACGAACATAAGGACATCATGCAAATAATTGACGATTGATTATCACTTATTAATATTGGCTTAATTGATAAAATAATCAATATATATCCCTGGATTTTTTAAAAGCGCGTAGTGCTCGAATAATCGTAGATTCGTAAAACTGCAATGAATAATTCAACAACGATTCGATTGCAAATACCGTTTAGTTTAACATCAGTTATTAAAGTTAAAGAGCGTCTATAAAATATAAAAGAGGCAAATGTTTATCAAAAGCGCATGTTTCGCGAAACATCAAGCAGACATGGTAAAATGTTTGCATCGATTACATGCGCGCCAACATTTCTTTACGAGCAAACTGATCTTCAAACGGACATATGCTGCGCAGTGGGGATAGCGTTTATATTAAATTCGTAAACTCTCCGCGAGGTCCCCTTCGCGAGGATCTCTGAAAACTTTAGAGACGACGGCTTTTTAATCTTGCTTCTGCCGACAAGCGGCCGGATTATTACATTTTCAATTAAATCGCACCGAGCGTCATTTGCATGCTGCCTAATGCACCCGATGTAATATAGCCGTACGCATGAAACGCGTTGGCTTTGCGTCGCAAGCTTTTTCCCTTGCTCATTTTACGCGTAATATGTACGGCAAATTTACGGGAAAGTAAAACGTATTTGAAAATGTATTTTGATAATACGTAATACGCCATGTATTTATTATTAAGCTCGCAAATTAAGGGTGCGTAATACTACGTAACGTGTTTCCGAAATAATTCGACTTATTGACGATTCGACGATTTGAGAGACAATTATATCGCGAATATCCAATGCACGTGCAGACTGTGTTGTCTATCAACAATTATCCGGGCCCAGAGCGTCGCGTGACTTTTTGCTCGATCGGAAAATATTAATGAAACCAAACCCTCGTCGTCGAGCCTTTGCGCTCTTGTACAATACGTTTCCATCTCCATGCACGGTTCAATGCGCGAGCTGTCGAACCGAAAGATTTTAATTATTACCGTCGGCTCTCCCCCACGTCCGTACGCTTGAAGCCGGATATAATGACGAAATTAAATAAAACGTCATTCGCGCCATGCGATTAATTACTGACCGGCGGAAGAGAGTGCAGGAAAAAAATGTCAGAGAGGAAAGAGCCCGCGCGTAGCGCTTAATTATGATCGTACAAACAGCGTGTACGACCCTTCTACAACTTGCGGTCTCGTTATTTACCATTTCAACGTAAATTCATTCTACACAAGATCGCAACAACGTCATCATTTATTGGACGAATCAAACCGCATCCGCATTTCTGTTAAGTCATATTTGCTGTCGTATTGTATGCGTTGTGAACATATCCAATTATCATAAATAATGCAGTAAATCTCCGTGAAATCAGTCTCGACCCGCAAAAAAGCGGATTGCATTTGCGAATTATTCATATAGTATATACGCTTCTTTTTTATCACATTGCGTTTAAACTATTTTTTTTATTTCCAAAATAGCTTAAAAAACATACCAAAACATTAATAAAATACATAATAATATTTTAAGAGATAGTTTCTACATAAATAATTCCCTTATTTATTTTTTTTTTAATAAAATCGAGTATTTTTTTGCTTTAATTATAACATAATCAACGTAATTTAAACGATGCTAACGATAGATAAGCAAGATACGCATTTGCAGTAAATATATGTATAATTGATTTGCTCGTTAGGTCTGAAATTGCATGGTTTTTCTAACTAAACGTGCCGTTAATAGCACTGTCGACGTGTTCCTCCACATTTCACTTCTGCTTTATCGAATCGGTATTGACTACACGGCGTCAACGGCAGAGGCATCAGAGAGCCCCGTGAATTAGCACGCGCGTGAATACGCAATTCCGCCGCCAGGTGCACATCCAGCACTTTATTACACTAATTGCGCGCGGCGCGCCCATTTACGAAATTCCGAAGTAAGGGTTTTCGCCCCGTGGCTCGACCCCGCGCGCCCCGTTGATCGCCCCGGCGTTATACGTGCATACGTATAGCCCGGGTTACTTGCGCACGGCGTGTAATTTCACGCTCGCGAACACGCACGCGTTTTGCATACTGCCTGTCACACGGCGGCGCATCCAGTGAAATACGGCCGAGATTGCTGTAGTTATGTCACACGCATATGCAGCGCGCCGAGGGGCGAATTGTATCAACTTCCATGTTTACGCGTTGCCCGCAATACGTCATCGGAAGATCGTCG